TTTGATAAGCACGTGGACTACTCACAAATACACGTCGCGTCACTACGTATTTCTAAGCCGTTACCATTTTTCGTTAGCACTACCTCGTGTGTTGTGGCTCTGAAATTTTACTCCCAGGGCGCATAAAGAAGTGTCACTTCAAAAAAGTTTGATAAATCATGTCTTAAAATTGCGTCAGCAACTAGTAATATTTACTAGCGTATTACAAAATTATAATTATTTATTATATAATATTATTATATTATAATTAAACACACAAGTAACCACAAAACTACGATATAAAATATCTATGCATTACAAATCCTAAAAGAAATGGCAAATAATTATTTGTACACACGCCACTGGCACGAATACGAATCTGCGCTCTGGCCCGTTCAACATTCGATACCAGTGCGAGTATATCTTGTTTCTTTGTCCCCTCAACGCTAACCGCGCCGATCTCGGCTATCTTTTTCTCACAGGATTGACTGTTGGACGGGCCGGGGATCGACGCGCTTGCGATGTTATTGACATCTTGATAGAAACTGCAGACCTTCCGTGTCTTTTGCGTGTTTTTAATGGACACAAATCGCAAAAAAGGCTTCAAACAGTAAAATCGCAAAAAACGCTTGAGACGCAAAAAACGCAAAACGCTAAAAACGTCGTCCCGCCATCCTGCTGTTCAAAACATGACAGTTGGTTTTCATATACAAAAACCCATTGTTTTGTTTTAACCGCAGGATTACGGGACGTCGCGCGTCGTTGCAGCCACCCTAATTTATTCAACTAATTGCGAGGTTCTGAATGAAACTTTAGTCCTAGAAATTAAAACGCGTTTCTATGGTAATATAATTTCATTTTCATTCTTTGATAGATTGTTATTGATAGAATTATAATTAACGTCATATTTTTTGCTGTTTTAAAATGTTAAAGCAGAAAATTTATTTAGTACAATGCTACGGAAAGGGTGATAATAGCAAACAATATGACCATAATCAAAATTAATAATGAGTAAATAATAATATTGAGTTTTTATTCACATCTATCAAAAGTTGATATTTAGTCTAAAATATTAAATAAACCAATAACTTGCATGGTGTTAACCAGTTTCCTAGACATTCATTATTATAGCAATCTGAACTATATTTTATATAAAGTAAACTTTAGTAACATTGACAATATAATCGGTTTTGTTTACTTCATGTCAAGTGGTCCTTCAAAAAGAAGAATTTTCTTTAATTGATATGTTTGCATCAATTGTATCAATGTATCTTCTTAAGATTTTATTTGTTATTTACATTACATTGAACTAGTTTCAAAACTCGTAATATGGAATATACTTAATATCTAAATTTTGTTAATTTAGATATTAAGTGATGATGGACAACTTTACAATCCAAAACATTTAAGTACGCCACTTTGTGTATATCTAGTACAATAATTTAAGTATAAATGATAACTGTTCCATATTTGAAATATATTTTAGAATTATTTTGAAATCACTTTACAGATTTTAATTTATATAAATATAAAACAGTAGTAATTTATTTGTTTTTATCTATCTGAATTCATTAATTTGTAGTAGTCAACTCATATATAATTTGCACCTCAGCCCAAATATAAAATCTACCTAAGATTTGTAAAGTAAAATTTGACTATTTAATAAAATTGTCACAACTAAAAATGTTTAATCACTACTTACTTGGACAAATAACATCTTTTAAAAATCATGTCAAAGTCTAGGCTAAAGGCTATATTATGTTTAAAAATATATCTTTATTAATTTCCGTATGTTATTGTTAATATATTTTTTAAATATGTTATAGCTACCCTATCTCGGTTAATTTTGATCTGATCAAAAAAAGTATAGAGATCATTTCTATGTAATATTTGACGCTCCACAATTTGTATTAGAACTTTTTTCCTAGTTCCCGCCGGTTCTCCGAAATTTCGAAAAAATAATTTTATTAATTTATTTCACCCCTTCTCGGGGGTGAATTTAAAAAAAAATCCACAGTTCATTTTTAGATCTCTCAAAATAACTCATATCAAAAATTCAAGTTTTTACGAAAACTTCGTATTCGAAGGCCCATTTTCTTGAATTTCTTGGCGTATCATTCTTGGATTATTAAACAGACTTAGTTACACACAACAGATTAAAGAAAACAAAAATTTACATTAAAGAAAACACAACTAAAATTATTTTAAAATCCTCCTGAACTACCTGATTTTCAATACTAGGCAAAAAAAATCAATATGAATAATTTCTGCTTCATGTTTTTTATTACTTTAGTCCATTACAGCAATCTTAAAAATTGACATTTTCAACTTATTTAAGATTATTTACGAGACAGTAAAGACTATGTACTAGGATTTGCACTTATTGGATTTACTTTGTATTATTTTATTTTATCTCTGCAATTAAAATATATGAGTTTTTGAAAACTTATTTTTTTATCTATTCTGCTTATAATCGACAAGTAATATACATATGAGGAGCAAAAATTCAAAAGGAATATTATCCAAAATTTCAATTTTTAGCTTTTAGATGGCAACACATACCTAAATAGTATTGTAATTTAATCCAGGATATTTTAACATAGGTTTAGAAGGGAATAAAGATCCATTTGAATGATTTACAGAACTGGATTAAATTACAATACTATTTAAGTATGTGTTGCCATCTAAAAGCTAAAAATTGAAATTTTGGATAATATTCCTTTTGAATTTTTGCTCCTCATATACAGAGATATACGTTCTATTTTAAAGAAAACGGTATAATTTACGATTAAGAAATTTCTAATAAAGGACATACCAATTATGCTATAGTGCACACCGAACATTGCATTGTTTTGATTTCAGAACGTAAATTGGTATTTATAATTAGTTTTTTTTAAGATATGTTGTAAAATATATTTTTTTATTTATTAACTTACTAGCTGACCCGGTTAACTTTGTACCGCCGAACAGTTAAATAAAGAGAAGTGACAGTTTTCTCTCAATGTTGTGGTACGAATGACTGATATATCGAATGATCTCGAATGATTAAGAGCAATGAATTTAACAGTGGTCATTTACTTATATTTTTCTTTTGCACTTTAATTCAAATATTTTCTATGCCGGGTGCGTCTCAATAGTGGCTCACCCCCTATAACTTTTTTATTTTTTCAGATAACAAAACGAAATTTGGTATCTTAGTATATAACAAAAATTATTAGGATTGATTGACGTATTCCATTGTTTTTGGCCACTTCCTATTTATTAATTCCTATTGTATTAATTTGCCTTGATCCAAGTCTTATTGCAACCTTCAAAAAAATTTAATATCATTAACTTGCGAAAGTTTTAAAAGTACTCATTAATTCCTCATCAAAAAATATGAAAATAAGTTCCAATAAATATAGGTATGGAAATGCATATTTCATTTGTATTTTAATTTCAATAATTGTGATTAATAAAATTGCGTTTTTCTCATCAAGGAGGCCGAATTCGACAAAATATCAAGAGACTAGCGTGTACCAGTGACTTCGATTCTCACATTTTTGTCAGCATGAGAAAAAATAATATGGCGATATTATTATATAACTTGATAATATTTGAGGGGTTTCATCTCGTTGGAATTTGACTTTCGAAAAATCCGTTTGCCAAAAATGAGCTTTTTACGTCAAGCAGTTTAAGCAGAAACGTGGTTAAGAAATTACCCAACTTTTTGAAACACCCTGTATGATTTTTAAAAAATTTCAAAATACGTAAAAAAACAAATAAATTATGCTTGTCCAAACGTTTTCCCGAAAGACTAACCTTTTTTTAAATAACAAATATTGTAATATATGAGGGGCTTTTTCACCCTCTTTTAATTTGAGATTCGAGAAACCCCTCCTTATCGAACCTCTACACCCCACAGTCAATCCGTTTACCAAAAATCAGCTTTAAACGTCAAGCAATTTAAGCAAAATTGTGATTACTCAATGGTCATATTTTATGACACACCCTGTATAAATTTATAAAAAATCTTAAAATATGTAAAACAACAAAATAAAATATACGTGTTTAAGAGTTTTTCCGAAAAACTCACCGGTTTTTAAATAAAAAATATTTTAATATTTGAGAGATAGTCTACACCCTAAAGTCAATCTGTTTTCCAAAAATCAGCTTTTTACGTCAAGCGCTTTTAGCAGGATCGTGATTAATCAATGACCAGATTTTTCGAAACACCCTGTATACATTTTTAAAAAATCTTAAAATATGTAAAAAAACAAAATAAAATATACGTGTTTAAGCGTTTTTTCGGAAACTTGACCGTTTTTTAAATAAAAAATATTGTAATATTTGAGGGGTGGTTTCAGCCTCTTGGAACTGGAATTTCGAAAAATCCCTTCTTATCGAACCTCTACACCCTAGAATCAACTTGTACGCCAAAATTGAGCTTCTTACGTTGAGTGGTTTGAGCAGGATCGTGATTAGTCAGTATGTCAGTCACTTAAGGATTTTATATATTAGTATAGATAAATTTTAATAGATATTAAATAGCTTACACAATTTTGATATCAAAAGAAAAATGTCAGTGGCACACATATTTTTTTGAAAAATATTTCTGTGATAACCCATAGCATTTAAATATGTAGCAATTAGAGTAACTTTTACCCTAAAAATTTCATCTGAATCACTAAAAGTACTTGGAAGAAAATTATAAGATTAAGACTTTGACACCCTGTAGCCTCGAAACAAATTAGAATCGAACCTATGTCGATATGAAAAATAAATCTTATTTTTACTTGAGGAATCTTCCCACGAGAGATGGCACATGTTTTATGAAACACCTTGTATACTTATTTATAATAAACATGTTTCTAAAATTTTTCTATGCTAAATGGCTTTCATTTTGGACATATATGTTTTTACACGTTTATTTGTTAATATTAATAATGTTTGTACTGCTCTGATAATGTCAAAAATTTAGTGACAAAATATAGAAAATGAAAAAATAAATAATGATTTAATATATCTATTGAAAAACTTACGGAACTCATTGATGTGGGCAAACCAGCAAATCCAATTATAAACTAATCGATGTAACGGTAAAATATTCTGTCAAACAACAAAATGTCCCTTGAAAGAAATCTACGATACACAGGTCAGAACGAAATCGAACGTTAAAGTACTATCAATAAATTAACAGACCGACTACACACCGATTCCAGATGAACAGTTCAATGGTTTTTGCATAAAAAATTTAAGGTCACCGGTGAACATTGAAAAATTGCTGCTAGATAGGAAAGGTATGGCAAAATACCTTGAAATATGTACAGGTAGAGACAACACTATCGCTAGAATTTAACTGTAAAAATATGGCACAGAACTAAAAAAAATACACTGTTTTATGGTGTCTATTTGACTAGATTATAATTTTAAAATAACGTTACAGGTATATTGCTGGAAAAATCAATAATAAATGGGTTTAAAAGTAATGGCAGGTGGGTATTTAAATATATTATAACAGTTGTTAAAACAAGAGATAAGTATAGGGTGGACAAATTTCAATGCAGAATATTATGGTAACTATCCCAGTTACCATCACATTAAGGGAATATCTCAGTTCAGTTAACTATAAAATCTGAATTATTAGTATAAGGCTTACAAGAAAATTAAATATGATACTAGGGGATGTTTTTATTTAAAATTTAAATAAAAACTTTAATAACTTGACCGATATTTTCGTTTATTTTCAAGAAAAACTACAATTGTACTAAATATCGTCACCTCTCTACCTATATATCGTCACCAACTTGTCCCAATTTTCGTCATATCTTTATATGTGTCATTTCACACAAAACATTGTTTTTTACAAAAGTTTATTTAGGAATTGCGACACATTGCAAAAAATAAATCATAAACAATTAAATAATTAAAAAAATAAGCATACAAAATAAAATTTTAATTAAGAATATCTCCGATATTAGCTCAAAAATAATAGTGTAATAATAATTACTGAATGCAAAGTATTAAACATTTTTATAAAAAAAAACAAACAAAAAAAACAGTAACATCATATTAGTAAATAAATGCTTTTTAATTAGTAAATAAACTTTTAACTTGAGAAATTAGTTTTACTTTGGCATATCAGTTTAAGATATAATATTAGGTATCAGGTATATCAATAAGATATAATATCATAATCAGGTATATCATAAACACCTCTTTTATTTTTTTTAGTTTTTGTAACAATATCCCTTTTAATATAGTCCAAAATATCTTCCGAACTGTAATATTTCGCATTTTTAATATCACAGGTATTTTACAGGAAGCCTATATTAATATGGCTTATATGTTTAATGGCTTAAATTCCGTCGTAGACATCCAGTTCTCGTCATCCATTTTTAATTGATAATTTAAGGTAGAATTAATGATAAAAGTAGGTGACCAAAATTGGGCACATCAAATAGCGCATCTTCATACTGCCATTTATAGAAAAAAATTATTAAATTACAGAAAAATTAATTTTATACTGAATAAAATATCTCTGCCTATAATGACCTTAATCTTCGTCAATGGTGACGATAATACGGTACGTTCCATTGCGACGTGTCCCGATAACCGTCACCCATTTTTTTATTAATATTATAGAAAAAACATATTTTTTTATATGAATACATATAATAAAAAACCTTTTACACTGGTAATTAATTATATTTGAACCTTAGTATACTAAATTACATTATTGTGAAAGAAAATCAGGAAGACTGTTACTCTGCTTAGCTTATAGGAAATGTGTGGATTCTCGTCAACGTCTAACTACCAACTAAAATAGTCGTTATTCCACGTAAATGAAGTGCGCCATTTAAAAAAAGATGTATCGCAACGTTTCCAGATATATAAAACAACTATATAAAATTATTTATTATGGAATGTTTTCTCTGAGTTTCTTGATTTTTTAAAAAATATGGGAATATGACGAGAATTAGGACAGTGATGGTAATTGGGCATTTACCATATATTAGATTAGATATTTTGCAGTAGATATTGGCCTATTCCACTTTGGCCTTTGTTTATGATGACAAAATAGGCATAATATGAATACGTTTCTTAATCCCTATGGTTAAGAGATTAACAAACGAATCCATGGGCATCTGTAGCTTCTAGAATAAAGTACTTGAAAAATTTGTTTAGGTGCAAACTTAAAATATGCACGAAGATGTATTTCAGGAAAATATTTTAACTTCTATAAAGTGGCCCAAAAGAGCGTGAGTGGGTTGGGGTGATTTTATTTAAATAGAACACCCTGTATATTGTTGCAATTTTGACTTCCTTTCAGATCACTTTATATAATCCTAAGATATGAGTAAATATATTTTAATAATTTTAGAGATATTAATAAATAAATAGAAAATACGTATTTTACAACCTTCCTTAAAAAAATTATTACAAATACAAGAACTGTCCTGAAATCAAAACTATATTAGGTATTTACTTTGATAGTCTATGCTTACTTTGCTATAAATATCGTAATCTTAAATCATAGAGGGTATTCAAAATTCTACGCCAAAGTTTCTAAAATATAATTTTTTTTTTTGTTTTATTAGTATTATTTAGTAGGGCTTTTTCAACGGTAAAATACGAGAGAAAAATAATTGGGTGGCTTTGATGAAAATTTGCTGTAGAAAATGCCATATGAAATATAAAACCACAAATATCTGCAAAACCGTAAAAATTTTTAAAAAACTCTAAATACAAAAAATTTTCATTTTTTAATTCTCCATCCACTGAAAAAATAATATACAGGCTGTTCCATTAAAAAAACAAAGAAAAATTATTTTATATTTTAGAAAGTTTGGCTTACAATTTTGAAGACCCTGTATGATTTAAGATTACTATATTTATAGCAAAGTAAGTACATACCAAGTAAATACCTAATATAGTTTTGATTTCAGGACAGTTCTTGTATTTTTAATATTTTTTTAAGAAATGCCGAAAAATATATATTTTTTGTTTATTCATTAATATCTCTGAAACTATCCAAATATATTTACTCATATCATAGGATTATATAAAGTGATTTGAAAGGAAGCCAAAAATGCAATAATATACAGGGTGCTCCATTTAAAAAAATACCTCGATCCATTCACACTTTTTTGCGCCACCCTATGGAAGTTAAAATATTTTCCTGAAATACATCCAAGTACATACTTTAGGCATGCCTTTAAATAAAATATCCAAGTTTTTTATTCTAGGAGCTACAGATTCAGATGCCTGACTCACTATTGCCGCATCCTGTATACTCAAATTTCTTCAATTAATTAATAAATATGTAATAGTTTGAAAAAGAAAATTAAATTTAGTTTTGAAAAATTAACTTCGCTGTAAATGCAAAGTAACAATTAATTACTCCCCATTTTATCGAGCTGACAATTTTGCGATATTACTTTCAATTCAATGTAAATTTAACTTCTTCAAATAGTTTCTCAAAATTATACCAGAAGGTATGTCATTTTTATAGTTTTTATTGGCATGTAATATTCTTATAAAGATGCTCATATTCCATTTTATTTAGCAACAATATTCTGTAGACTTTTCTCCTCCTGAGTATGTAAATGTCAAGGTTGTTCTTCATATTTCAATTAATCATTTTCCAATCCAACCAAATGCATCGCTGATAATTTATTTACAGTTCTAATATCGAGGGAATATTAAGTATCTAATATCTATATCTAGAAAAATATTGATATCATCAATAAAGAAAAGAAGTACTTTATTATACAGGGTAAGTCTTAAATAAGTGCAAATACTTTCAAGCATATTTTCTCTTTACTGTTTTTCAAAAAAGTCCAAAATAACCGAGTTATTTTACTATAAAAATTTCAAAAAAATGATTTTCTGCTTAAATTTTGAGAACCACAGGATCTTTCCTGAGTTTTCTTTTTTATAAATTTAATCTACTTCCGATGTTAGGGTATTATCAAGAAATTATGTTTTTAACTAAAAACTAAAAAAAAATCGAATAGGATATTTGCTAGGATACAAGCAAGCTAGCAAACTCCTAAATAATGGGGATCCTGTACCAACTATATGGAAAGAAGACCGGATAACACCAATTCACAAAAAAGGAATTCGTGACAAATACTCAAACTATAAATGTGTATCCGTAACCAGCACAATGAGCAGAGTATACGGAAAACTGCTTAGAAACATCGTAGAAACTGAATATGGTCCACAGGAAATTGAAGAGCAAGCAGGTTTTAGAGCTGGTCGATCGTGCATAGATCATATATTTAGTCTAATCCAACTTAATGTAAAGAAGGTGGCAAGTAATACAGAGGCTCATTTGCTTTTTGTTGACATTTCAAAAGCATATGATACAGATACAGTGCCAATTCAAAAACTGTGGCACGTGCTGGAGAACTCTGCAGTTAACAATACATCGATTGTTTCTTTAATTCTCACTAAAACGGTATGGAAATATGTAAAATTACAAACCGGATTAACCATTTTAGAACAAGCAAAAATTTTTATAAAGAATTAATTTTTCTCAAAAAGTTTTTGCTCTTGTGAAGGCAATTCGGGGACATACTGTATAATATTTTGTAATCAGTGTCATCAATGACATCAAGAGAAATAATTTCATTTTGAATTCTACTACTAATGCCATAATAATTACTTTATTATATAAGTTTTATGTCAATACAATATTCAATTCTTTGGGCTCGATGTGTCATAATTGGTGTATTTTATAGTTTGGCCAAACCACAAATGGAGTAAAGTAATAAAATAAATGATACCGTATATTACTAGGAACTTTATTAATTATTCATTTCATGATCAATGACGATATACTTTTTTATTGATTTAAGTTCATATTTAACTTTATACAGGATTGAAAAAAAAATTGAATTATGATTTTTCAGATTAGCAATGCTACGTTATGAAACTGTAGACGTTTTGATGATTGTGTTCACTTTGATATATTTGTAATTAAGAAGAAGTTCTTTTAATTACGTTCATAACAATTAGAAACACTAAACCAAATTTTAAAATTAAAATGTATTAATTTTTTATTAATCAATAGATTAAAAATATTATGTCGTATTTTAATTTTATAATCCCTCCAATGAATCGGGGAAATTTTCATTCAACAAACATTATACTTAGTACAAAAATTTTTCAGCACAGCTTTACTTATCCTGTAGAAAATACAATTCCTAATTCCTATACCAAAAACTATTA